AGGGGGGGGGGGTGTTGATAGGAATATGAGATGGGTAAGAGAATACAGAAATAAGCTTACTAGTTTTCTTTCTCTGACGTTGTCAGAAATTGCATCTATGTGTCCATTGTGATGAAATCAGGCCCTTGTCAAAATGGAGGCTGCTCAGTTTGTCACAATTCCATTTGAGTATTGATGGCAGTCATAATTACAGCACTTTTAACACTGTAGTTGTAACTTAAGTGTTTTATTCTCCACCTTCAAAATGGTGGGGTAGAGATGGTCCCTCTTAAATTCAGCTTGTGTTTTTCAATATTTCTTTCTTTTTGTATGTAAATTTATCAGTAAAATTTCAACCATGATTGTTCTTTCGTTAAAAACAATTGAAAACTAAATTCAATTCATTCAATCAATCAATCGTTCTTTTACTCTTTTTGAGAGTGTCAGTGATAACTTCCACCATGCAGGGTACAGTCGAGGCCTGTGACAAACTGACATGCTTCCGTCAAAGTAATGAAATCGAAGAAAGTGACATTTTTCGTCTTTTGAGCGATTTTTAAATTAATAGCTCAACACCATTTATGTCTGTTTAAGAACACAACTACTGAGTGGATTCGGGGGAAGTTGCTGAAAGGCACAAAAATGTCAATTTTCAGTTTCCTTTGTAACTCACCAAGCTTCTTTTCTCGCTACTTTGACCTCTGACACCAGGCGACCCTACTTCCTTCAATCGCAAAAGTGTCACGACGCGGTGGAATCAGGCGCTCGTCAATTTTTGGACATATGGGGTTATGGGTATCATTCTAAAGCCTGTTCATTTGTCTAGCTTTCTATGAAAAAAATATTCTTTCGACTTCGATACAAGTCGAGATATTGGCAATTAAATGAGGTGTGGGTCACCTGGTTTCAGAGGTCAAATTTACCAGAAAATGGTCGCCAAAATGCATTATTTCCTTAGCTTGAGAGTTCGTGGAAACTGAAAATGTTCTTTTTTGTTTGTTCCTTTAATCAATGTTTTTCAGTAAAACCCACAAAGAGATGTTTTTTTATGACATTAAACGTGTTGAGCCAAAAAGCAAAAATTCGACAAAAATTCCCAAACCTGCGGGAAAATGCCAGTTTCTTTACTTTCATTGGTTTGACGAGAGCCTGATTTCACCACGCTGCCTCACAATGGTCGCTTTTAAGCACAAGGCGACCCCAACCTCCTTCAATCCCCAATATCTTGACTTGTATCAAAGATAAATTAACAGATATTCGTTTATCAAAATCAAGACAAATGGCCAGGATTTAAGACGACACCAATTACTCCATATGCCCTAAACTTGACGAGCGTCTGATTCCACCACGTCGTGACACATTTGACCTCTGACACCAAGTGACACGCACATCCTTCAATCCCAAGTACGTCGACTTTTATTCAAGACTAATAAATAATCTGCCCTTTTTTTCCTCAGAAGCAGAACAAATGAACAAGATTTATTGAGATTATACCAATATCTGCTTTTGCCGAAACTGACGAGCGCATGATTCCACCTCGTCGTGACACAAGTATTATAAAAAAAGGGGGGGGGGTGACTAGCCTCCGTCGATCAGCTCCAGGGCAGCAGCTTTTAAGGAATGGGGGACTACACCCCCAAAGTCCCGATTCGGCTCAAATATTATGGAATTTGAGTTGTAGGCAATTTTCGTTTTCTCAGCCTATGCTACAACTATTCTATCGCATAAGAACCCCCAAAGGCCTTATTTCTTCCCATACCGGGCATGTCTGTCCCCACCATTTCCTCATAAAGTCAATATTTTATTTTTCTTTATCGGCCGTTTTCTCAAAAGGCGATTTTTCTCTATCTAGATCTATACTTTTTTAACAACTCCACCATTTTTCATCCAATCTTCATGAAATTTTCACAGAATTAAGAGAAAATGTAATACTAAACATTTTCTGTTAAAATGTTGATATACGGAATAGATTTTGTTGGTAATGTCTGGAATGTGGATGTTCACGGATTTTTTGCGAACTTTAATACTACCTCAGGCAAAAATTCATTAAAAATTTTCTAATTCGTTTGAGAAAAAAATGGACAAACGAATTTTGAGAACTAAATTTTGCTAAGATGCATGCAAAATTCAATCTATTTCCATGAAAAATAAGCGCGGTGTTCATTACGTCAGACATGTCAACAAAATCCAATATGGCCGCCGTATGGAAACGCAACTTTTTTTCGCAAATCTTAAGGCACATTTTAAGACTCTCTACAATGCTTGTTATATGTATGAAATTTGGTAAAATTTGGTACACTAATAAGCGAGATAGCCTTCAAGTGTAGCCCCCCCCCCCCCCAAACTAAAGGTAAGGTAAACAACATTAATGTAACACTTTCGTTTTCTGAGACTCCAGCATTCTGCTCCGGAATTTTGTCTCGAGCTACTTGGCATGATGAAAAAATCTCAAAATAAATTTCAATAAACTTAAGTAAAAATGGTATAGATCTAATATTTCTTCTTTTTTTAATAATCTGTTCACAGTGGCCCCTCGAATTAAATTTCAATAAACTAAGTAAAAATGACATAGATCTAATATTTCTTTCTTTTTTAAAAATTTTTCTGTTCACAGTGGCCCCTCGTGCAATCAGCAGCATCATCTACACAAAGGGCATTAACTCGTACAAGGAGAAACTCAGTAACTTCGGACCCGGCACAGACTGATGACGTCATTTGTTAGATAGATTTTTTCGTGGGCAAGCTGTTCAACTGTTCTAGGATCGGAAAGTGAAAGATTTTCAGGATTTACTCTATTAAAAATTGTATTTCTTACATTAAGAATTTGAACTCTGACAAAAATACCTCTCGAACACATGCAGATTAAGAATTTGCACTTAATTTCTTTCTTTCTTTCTTTTCTTTCTTTCTTTCTTTCTTTCTTTCTTTCTTTCTTTCTTTCTTTCTTTCTTTCTTTCTTTCTTTCTTTTTTTTCCTCTTTTTTTCTTGTTTAAAATTTTGGATTTTAAAATTATCTGAACAGCTGGCCGAAGGTTCCTTTTCTTCCCCAGTCGTCACTTTTGATAGTGCTTGAGTGTCGTTGTTATTATTATATTCTTAGGCTGCTTTTGCTTCTCTTCATCAGCTCTTTATCTACTACACAGTTAAGACTCTGTGTGGTCGGCTGGTGCTCTGGTGTGGTTTGCTCCGTCTTTCCTATAAAGAAAAAACCAATCTTCTCTATCTCCCCCTCCTTCTTTTTTGTGTTTGTTACTCTCTTGAAACACTTCTAATCTTCCGCACTTATTTGACCTTATTGTCTTGCAAGTGCCGTAGAGCTATTACGAAAACTAAAGACCAACAATTAAGATTTCGGATATTTCAGAAGGCGGGTAACTGCGACACTTTCCATCTTTTCAGACGGTGTGATTGGTACGGCGTCCCAGCAGACAGGTGGAGATATCTGATAAAAACTAAAAGTTGTTCCCGCATCCGATCCGGACATTGAGGATTGCCTTGTTAGTAGGACAACTTCCTGGGCCTTTGGCATGTTGTGGTAGGGTGGCCAGTTCATTTCCTCGCCGCCTTTACTTCCCCAACTGGAAGTCAAGTACCCATTACTGCTGGGGTCGAAAAATGTACCTGATAAAAAGAATAGTTCCCTACTCAGGAGTCAGACTCCCGTCTTCTGCGTGTGATGGCGAACGGCCTGTTTTAGGGAAAAAGTATACAGCCACTCACAACTGAAGAGCGCCGAAAAACGGACGAGCAGCTAGAGAATCTAGGTCGGAAGTGGTGATCCCTTAGGTCAGCGCGACTCCATCCGACTGTGTAAAAAAATGGCGCTGAGCAGGTGTATACAGCTCAGTGGCCGGCCCTGAAAGTTTCAAAGTGATCTTCGTACTAGAAGCATTTTAAAATGTGAAGAATACAACCAAAAAGATATTTGATAGGAAAAAAGTATACCAAACCAGAGCATCCGTACAAAATGTCCCCAGGGCATACGGATAGGGTTAAATTACCTTAGGTGTGACAGCGGAGGTGTTCTACATTTACCAACTTTCGCAATCAATCAGGGGTTGGGGGATGCCCTGGGGCGGTTTGTTCACTTTTTCCTTTTCAAACATCTAACGTCATTGTCTCTTTTTTTTCCTTTGTACCCGTGTGTTGCTCTCTGGTGGCACCTTTAATCTACGGCTCTTAATATGTGACCTAATTGTATTGTAAGTGCCGAATAATTCTTACTAAAGCTGAATAATCTTTAAAAAAACCAACCAACTAACCAACCAACCAACCAATCAGTCTTTTAACCCTATCCGTACGTCGTGTTTTACCATCGTATCCATACGACGTAGAGAACTCTGTTCCACCACTTTCCAAAGAAGAATTTACTCGTTGATCAGATCCGTACGCTCTGCATAGTAGTCTGTCAGAATTAATTTTTGAGAAATACTGAAAGTTTCAAAGAGATCTTACCACTAGAAGTATTCTAAAATGTGAAGAATACAACCCTTGGGGTGCAAAATGACCCCAGGGCGTACGGATAGGGTTGAATAATGTTTCACAGGAAGTCCGAAATGGCGAAACGCTGAACAACGTAGTAGCAGTAGATGTTATACATATTGTGCTAAAGATCTCCTCTTTTAAACACCATGTTACTGAACTCAATCAAATGTCACATGCAGAAGACGTGAGTTCGATTCCCAGCTGGGGAGAGTATTTATTTCGGTCTGTCTGCTGGGACGCTGTGTCCCTCTCAGCTGAGTGTCGATGCAGCCAGCCTCCAAAATGATCTGATTGTGTCAATGGGGACGAACGGAGAAACAATAATGCTTTAAGCACTAGCGGGCTATCCGGCAAAATGCTGTTTAGAGAAAATTTAAGGTAAAGTTTTTGTCCTTTGTTCAGTTTCTTTAAAATAGAAGGAGGGCTTTCTCTATAACCAAACAAATAATATTTATATATATTATACACACCACAGAAACCAAACTTCTCCTCTAGGTAGGAGGGCAATGCCCACTTCTGGTGTAAGTCAAGATTTCTGGAAACCCCCGAAGTCTGGGTTAGCCCGCTTGTCCTCAAAAGCGACCAATTACAAAACTTGCGACCACACTGTTTTCCCTGCCGCCTTGCGCATCTCATCGGACCGACCATTTCATTCTGGCTTGTCAACTTTGTATATTATGCAATATCTACAGCCTATATCGCATGCTCGCTATCTGTCTATATATATA